CATTTCGTAATTTTCCTCTTAAGCGTTGATCAATCGTATACTTTTCACAAACTTATTTTATTTATTCTTTATCACTTACGAAAATAGTATATTGCATGGATTCCATTAAAAACTAAATCACAATGCATTAAATGGAAAAAAGACGGAATCAAATAAAATTTTAGTGAATCAAATGCATTGGAAAAACACACGTTTCTATAGGGGCCATCCATATATTACGTACGCAAAAATCTCCAGATTTGGACCCCTTTCCCTCCCTCCTGTGCACCTCGTACTTTTTTTAAACCAAACCCCTTGCGTACGTACGCTTAGCGGTCTTACCCCCCCCCCCCTTATGTTTAAGTTTTATATGCTTGGTGGTCTGTCCCCTCCCCTAATTCCATTTACGCACGCAAACGTGATCACTTTTTTTTTCCGCAGTTTAACCTTTATAACCTTTATAGGCCTATCTAAAGCTTTTGATACTATTGATCACGGCATTCTCATAAATAAACTAGAACATTACGGTATCACTGGTAGAGTTTTAATGTTATTAAAAAGTTACCTAAATAATCGTAAACAATTCATGCATATCGATACACACTCAACAACTACTGCTTTAGATATATCTTGTGGAGTCCCCCAGGGTTCCATACTTGGACCACTGTTATTTCTAATTTATACTAATGAAGTAAATTATATTAATAAGATGTGCTACATACAGAAGCATGTAGCACGTCTTATTAATTTTAAAGATCGTTTTACTCATGCCAGGCCTTTACTATTAAACATGAATATTCTTAATATTTACGAAGCAAATATATTTAACGTTCTTTGTTTTATGTTTAAATGCAAAATTAATGCTTGTCCTGTTTCTTCTCATAATTTATATTCAATTAAAGAAAAAAATAAATATATATTAAGAAATAATAAACATATCCAACAACCAATTTTTCAATCAAATATAGGCAAATCTTGCATTGAATACCGTGGAGCCTTTTTATGGAACAAAATAGTTTTAAAACATTTTGATTTTTCGCATAATTGGAATTATTTTTCTTTTAAAAGAAAACTAAAAGAAGTAATTTTTTCAATTGATAACATGTTTTTATATTTTTAAATTATTACCTATTCCACAAGTAATTAAGGAATTGTAATCTGAACAACAATATTTTTTAGACTACATATTATATATTATATATTGACATTACGTATATACTGATGAAAACTGATGTAATTTTTCGAGCTTTTGTATGCTTTTTTTGTTTGTTCGTTTTTGCATAATATATATATATATATATATATATATATATATATATATATATATATATATATATATATATATATATATATATATATATATATATATATATATTCACATATATTATAAAATATTGTTATAACTTACTTAACATCTAAAGAGTATTATAATATATAAACGCATTTAAAATTGTTTTAAATATTTGTAAATTTATTTATTTATTTTAACTCCTTATATGGATTGTAAAGGGTTTCATGATAAGATGTGATGTAAAGGATTTTATGATCGTATGATCTTTTGGAAGTCTTACCAATAATATATTCAATGTAAATTTACCTTGTACATATTATTCTTTTCCAGAATAATATTTATTTATCCAGAATAATATTTATTTTCCAGAATAATATTTATTTATTTCAACTCCTGATACGGATTGTAAAGGGCTTCATGATAAGATCGTGTGATCTTCTGGAAGTCCTACCAATAATATATTCAATGTAAATTTACCTTGTACATATTATTCTAGAAAAGAAGAAAAAAAAAAAAAAAAGTACACGTCTGCGAAAATATGCAGTTAATTAACTGCATATTTTCGCGGACGTGTATTTTTTTCTTTACCAGAATAATATGTACAAGGTAAATTTTCATTGAATATATTACTTTATTATTATATAATAAATTACTTAAGTAACCAAGGATCATGGGTTAATTGGTCAAAAGTTTTATAAGTTTTATAAATAAATAAATTTTTTACTTGGTTACATATTATCAACTTATTATTAAGTTATTATCAAGACATTTTTTAAGATACTAATTTGATATACAAGTTTATTATTGATTACAACAGTTTTATTATTGAAAGAACTCCAGGAATGTAAAGACTAGTACTTCTGTGAATAAAATGTATAAACAGCTACAAAAAAAGTATTTTAGGAATTATAATTATTCAAATGACTATTTTAATGAACTGAAGTGTTCACAAGTTTTCTATTTTTACAAGTTTAAATTTTTTATGTTAATAATTTTTCATACAATGTTGGTATGTATCTTAAAAAACTGTGTTTCTCTCATTTATATCTATTAATATTCATGTATATGTTGCATGTTTAAAAACGAAAACAATTTGTAGTTTGTTTTTCAAAGTTGATAAACATCTGAAACAAGGTATCAGGTATACATTGTATGAAGTTATTAAAAACCTTGATGTTTGTGCTAAGGTTATCTAAGTAAACCCATGATCCAAGCAGGGATGCAGAGTCCCAAAAGAACTCCGAATTTGTATGTCACAAAAAGATTACTTTAAGTATTGTGAATTTCAAAATAGGTCTCACAGATGTAATGACTAGCAAGGCTGCTCAGTTTTATGGCTTTTTATTAAAAAATTTGTGCTGGCAAACATCACAAAGAATGTACAAGCAACAAATTTTTTGTTTTTATTTTATTTCTGAAAATCTTTTTGCATTTTGATTATATCTCGATTTCAGAAGATATATATTTGATCTAATTAGTATATTAGCTTAGACTTGGATTTTATTTCAAGATATTTTTCATATAACCTTCATAAAAAAGATAAGATATTCAAAATATAAAAATAATATATTTCTATTAGTTTTTATAAATATTAAAACCTCTCTTATTGATACTTTTATAACCTGTTATAAAAGTATCAATAAGACACTTATTTTATAGACATGTATTTAGTAGTTCTATTGGCTTAAGGTTAAGTTATTATAAAATAGGTGATTCTGGACAATCCCGACAGATTTAAAAAAAAAATTGGAATTTTATTTCATTATAGTTGGTGGGTCACTACGGAAAATTTCAAGTCAAATGTATTAACGACTCAATAGTTATTCAAAAGTCAATAATACTCTCATTTTCGGTGCCATAACACAGCGAATTTCCAGACTTATAGATTTTTAGTTTTTTATAATTTTTTTTTTTTTGTTTTTTTTTGTTTTGCCAAATAATTTTTTAATAATACAAATTTTAACATATTACAAATTTAGCGGCAGGACTTCTAGAAGTTCATGTGGATCTTATCATTAAGCCCTTTTCAATGCTTTTTAGTATCGAGTATAATATAATATAAATACGTAATATTATAATGAAGTTTTAAAAATTCGTAAAATAACAAAGAATATGAAGTTTAACAAAACACAGTAATAAAAAGTAACAAAATACAAACCATTAAATATATAAGTTTGCAAAAAACTCATGGAAATATTCGTAAATAGTAAAACATAATACAATAAAGTATAATATATCAGCAATAAATTGATAAAAACTCAAAAATAGATAAAGATGTTTTCAATTGAAAAGATAATTTCTTTAATTTTGGTTTTGAATGAGAAGTAGTTTAGATTGATTGAAAAGTCAAAATTAGGTAAAACTATTTTGTTCCAAAGAAGAGGTCCACGATAGGACATACAAAATTCGTCGTATTTAGTTGCAAAATTTAGTGCAAAAAGGAGCATTAAGATTGTTGTCAATTCGTAAATTATATTTGTTTTTCGGTTTTAAAGAATAACGATATTGAAATACCTGTGGAGATAAAGCATAAAATATTAAAAATATTAAGTTGATAAACATTCAAAGCTTTCATATCTTTAAGAAGTGGCGCAGAGTGAGTAAGACGATTTTTATTCAGAAGTTCAATTATAATAGGAGTGTCCAATTTTTGTAAAATTTTTTCTGCAAATATCAATTTGATATTATGTTATCAATGTGAAAGTGTAATCTCAAGATATAATTCAAAGATTTAAGCTTTGTAAAATTTTTTCCCAAAAACCAAAAAAATATTTTGAATTTTACTTGCGGACTATTTTAAGAAATTCAGAAATTTTTTATTAATCATTGGTGAAAATCAAATCAATGTACAAGTAAAAAAAATCAGCTAAATTTTAGTATAATTTAAAAAAACATTTCGAACAATGGATTGATAATTGTAAAAGTGTTTGAAAAATAGATCTTCCGCACAGATTTGAGTGATTTCCTACATCAAAAAGTACCCTATTAGGGTAGAAGGGTATATAAATCGGGGGAACACAAAAACGGAAAGACGAAAGGAAGACTGTTAATTTGAATGCATGTTTTTCTGAAAGGGATCGTATTATCATGGGTCGAGTTTCATGGAAAGAAAAGCTTTAAGGGAAGAAGATTTTCATGGGAAAACTTTTTATTCTCTGATATTGTGAAATTCATTGGATACACTGTAAACACTTTTATTTAATTAGCAAAGCAAAGTTCTCCAAAATAATTTTTTCTGATTGTTAAAACACCAGTTAATAGTTTTTATTTATTAAATTTATTTTTAAAGGATAAAACCTTTTTTTATTAGTAACAGACTTTGCTTTTATAGTTTTTTATTACTGTTTTCGTTTCTGGTAAATCTTTTAACAGGCAGAAAAAAAATGTAAACATACCTAAATTATAATTCTTTAATACAGAAACTTCAAACAACTTATACAACACAATTTATATATATACATATATATATATATATATATATATATATATATATATATATATATATATATATATATATATATATATATATATATATATATATATATATATATATATATATATATATATATATATATATATATATATATATATATATATATATATATATATATATATATATATATATATATATATATATATATATATATATTTGTAATCAATATGTTAAGGTTTCATCAGAAAATTAGTTCCAATGAGATCAGCTCTATGCGGTTTTTAATCTAATCAGATA